AAAACAAGACAATGGACCTTAAGGAGGAACTGAGGTGAGTTCAGAGTCCTTGAGACAGGGTAGGGATGGGAGAATAAGGGGCTGTATGGACAGGAAGATGGGGCACCTTTGGAATGTAGGAGATGCTGGAAAGAGGCTCTCTACTGGGCCTGCAGTAGGAAGAGGTTAGCCCCTTAGGCACCTTTCTAATTCTTGACCTTCAGAACTGTAAAATAATGTATTTTGATTATTTTAAGCTATTAAATTTGTGGTTGTTCCTTACAGAAAGCACAGCAAAGGAATACAGATCTTATCACCTCGTCTAAAACAGTAAGCACGTAGAGTATTGCTACACCTTATCCTTTTCCTTTCCCAGTTTAACTGTACACTTTCCCTCTCTCTGAACATAAAATTGGCAATGTTATGCTAGCAAAGATGACAAAGTGGAGTAAGAGTGTAAGAATGACAGTATTTAGAGGTGAAGTGGGGACCCTATTGTCACTATTGCTAGGACCGTGTAATGTGCTATACCCCACTGGAGGACAGGCTGGTGAGCTTATCAACATGACAGGCACAGCACTGTGACTCGGCAGCTCTGCCCAGGCTAGGGCCCTGTGGTCACTTATAGACTTTCACACTAGAAAGGGGCCAAAGCAAGCAGCAGGATTTTGCCATAAAAGAATGGAACCCACATTAATGTCCATCAGCAGTTTGCTGCTTAAAGAAATTGCAGTTCAGCCTTAAGAGGAATACTATCCAGCCATTTGAAAAGTCAGTGTTCAGTTTTTGTCTTGGTATGGAATGATTTCTAAGATGAGTTTTTAAGAGGGAAGGGAAAAAAAACAAAGGGGAAGAAGTAGGTAGATTATGTTTTCAATGGAAGGGAGAAAGGCAGGGAAGTTGTGTGTGTGCATTCTTGTATATGCCAACTGTCTGTGGGGAGTACAGGAGAAACCAATCCCCTGGCTGGTCCCTGAAGTGCCCCGAGGTTGCAAGACACCATATGTAGAATAGTTTTCTTTCCATCAGCTCCTCCATAGCTGGCAACATCATGTCTTTCATCCTGACTCTGATGACTTTTACAGCTGAAAAAAATACTTCCATATGGACATTTGGAAACAAGTGTTTTCAATCAATAAGTAACACTTTGAAGGAAAGAAATGAAGTTTTATGTACAAATGTAACTGAAGGTTTGGTTCACTTGTAAGGGAGCAAGAGCAGATGCAACAGGAACACGGGGGAGGGGACACTAGGGAGTCCTTTGAAGGGGGCGTTCTTATATGTGTTATTTCTTCATTGATCTCTAAAGTTTGGGTCTTATAGATACATTGCTCTCAAATATGATTTTGAAATAAAATTATATTGCAGAAAATCACCTGTGATGGCTAAGTTTGATTATCAACTTTACTGGATTAGGAGCCTGCTGCATGGGTGACTAGATCATGAGGTGCTACACTCCTCAGTGGATAAATCCACCAGTGTTGATAGCTAAGGGTGCAGTGAGGTGATGGGGTCTAGTTCATGGTGGGGTGGTGGGATATGTGTGGCTTTTGCAGGCTGTATGTCTTATCGGTGCTCTTCTCCTCTGCTTCACGCTCGCCATGAAGTAAGCAGCTTTGCTCCGCCAAGCTCTTCCACTATGAATTTCCTGCCTTAGAGTCAGTTCATCATGGACTCTAACCAGGAGCCAAATTAACTCTTTTCTTTTAAGTTGTGCGTGTTGGGTATTGTGTTTCAGTAAGGAGAGAGGTGACCAGTAGATCACCATTAGGGCAAAATAAAGACCACACAGAAGATGTGAAAGTGGTGGAGATGGAGCACCTGTGCCAAGAGAGGGGCTGCAGAGAGGCCCTGCCTCACAGAGACTGGCAGGGCAACAACCTTGGCATTCACTCTCCCTGGGCAGAGGCTAACGCTTTCTACATGATCCACTCAGAGGAGAATCTTTTGTAAAAATGCCTTAGAGATGTGGAGTCAACCCCAAGATTTGTTTTGTGTTCTTAAGAGGAGAAAGGCAGGAGCTCGTCTGTTTTCTGATGGAAGTGTGTCCACAAAAAAGCAAAGGTCCCTGATGCTGTAGAGCTAGGCAGAGAGGACAATGGAGTGGCCCCAGGAAGGCAAGAGGGCAGAAAACAGGGTGCTTTTGGATCTGAACTCGTGCAGAGACTTTCCTTCCACTGTGTGGGGAGGAAGAAGAGGAGCTTGGGTGAACTGCGGGCAGCTATCTTAAGGGTTTAAGGCTGGAAGAGGAATTCTTGCCTCTCCACCACCACCATTCCCTACAGCAGCAGTGAGCTTGCTGCAGTGGAGACTGAGAGTATCTTCCTCCTGATGTCTTCAGATCAAACTAGAAATGCCCCTGCCTCTCCTGCCTCCTGCTCCTGCCTCCGGAATCCTACTGCCAGGCCACAGGATTTGATTTTTCATTCAATCTGAAATCCCCTAAACGCACTATTGGGTTTGCCTAGAGTTTGGGACTCAGAAATAAGTTACAATGTAGCTGTAGGGACAACAAAAGCAGCTGCTGGAAGTGTGTTACTTTGAGCACAAAAAAATCCAACAAGCAAAGGAGCAGGAATAGGCCCTATTCATACCTGGCAATCTTGCTACCTACTGAGTTGTTCTCACATGCCCAGGAAAAGCCTGCTGCTGCTCAAGGCCCCTGAGCTCCAGATCCACATTCAGGGGACGTCTAGGAGTCCCCAGCCTGCTCTGTCTTCTGCCTCCTTTTGCACAGCTGGCACTATGGCCAGGCCGCTTTGCGCCCTAGTCTCTCCTCGCAGCACCGCAGGACGGGAGCGCACCGCACCTCTCCGGATTTGAAGCTCCTGCCGCAGACCACAGTTTTTCCCGCGTAAGCTTGGAGGGCACAAGACAGGGTGAGAGTCCAGCCTCAGAGCCTTAGGTGCAGGCTTTTGTTGTGTCTGAATCTCCTAAAGGGAAATTCCAAAGCAAGAAGCGGAAGGACCCCTTCCCCCGAAGGACTGCGAAGGCACCTGCAGTTGGGGTCACACCCAGGAAGTTGGACTCCGGAGGACCCAGGGAGGCTTTGGCGGATCAGTTCCTGCACCGACAGCGTAACCATCGCACGTGCTGTGCCTCACTCTGATGAAACATTAAGCAACAGGAGAGTCGCGGGAGGGTTTTTAAGACCTGACATTGATGTGAACACCGGTCTTTAGAGTGAAGGCGTGGAATCATTCATTAACTAGCGTTGTGAGGCTGTAAGGGAGGGAGAACCTGGGAGAAGTTTAGCCCTGGAAACAAATAATTTTCTTTCTGATCTAAACCAACATTCTGCAACTCCACATGAATTGAGCAAAATCCATTTGTGTGTGTGTGTGTGTGTGTGTGTGCGTGTGTGCGTGTGCGTGTGCCAAGGTGCAGCTGGAAGGCAGCGCTAGCTGACCAGGGAGGGAGCGAACAGCTCATCTGGGTACTTTGGGGACCTTCTGCCTGTCCGTGGAAAGAAGTTGGTCTGCTCTCATGGTTGAGTTTGTTTGTTCGTTGTTTTTTCTGGCACTAGGTAGTAAACCCAGTGGCTTCACACTGAGTAGCACCCCCACACATTTTAAAATTATCTTTAGAGAAAGGGTCTCCCTAAATTGCTCAGGCTCAGCTTGAGCTTGCGACCCTTCAGCCTCTGGCTCCCGGAGTCCTGGGATCACAGTTGTGCGATCCGATTTGTTGTTGTTCTGTTTTGTTTTTTCCCCAATACCTGAAGGCCCAGGGCAGGGCCTCTCCGCCAACACTTAGATCCGCCTATGCACATGGGTGTCTCTAAGCATTAGGGCCCGGCAGCCCCCTGCCCACGTGGGCACTGGAGAGAAAAACTCAGGAAGCGCCAGGACCTTTCCATGTTAATTAAACACACACAGCCCGACCTGTGAGCTGCGGTGCAGGCTGGCAGCCTGATCAGTTTCTGCATCAGAGGCCACAAACACTCAGAAAAAACCAGAACAGCTGTACACCTGGCCACTCAGAGATGCCGGACTTCATTCCCACGCCGGGCTGTGTGTGTGGGGGGTGTGGGGGGTGCGGCTCACTTCAGACTCTTGCAAGGGAGCGCTTTTTCAGCAACCTCCAGGAGCAGTCAGCTTCTTACCACACCCCAGTTCTTTCCAGCTGGAAAAATTTAAATAGAACCACACTTTTCATTTCCTCTACCCCTTTAGCCCTTTTCTTCCTATTTCACATTGTCAATTATACCATTCGGATCGTATGTACAATTATAGTTTTTCACATTAGAGAAACTATTCAATATTTACACATGTGTGACATTTATTTCACTTAAGAGTAGGGGGAAAGGAAATATCGGAAAATTCAAAAATATGAGAAAATGAGAAAATGGAAATAAAGCAGTTGTAAATAGGGAAGGGCGGAGGGGGTGAAGGGAGGACAGGGGTAAAAAATGAGAACCAAGACCTGTCATGTGAAGGTACAACATCCCAATGATGAATGTAACTGTACTGTATACCTAAATGTACCAATAAACTCAATGAGAAAAAAAAAATCACACTTTTCAAAATTCGGGAAGTTTTTTTTTCTCTCTTCCCTCTCTACATGGACTATCCCAGGACAAAGTACAAACTGGTCAAACATGGACGTTTATGTTCCTTCAGTGTATGCTCACTGATCACGTTATTTAACTGTGCCTCATGGATTTCTATTCCCTGGGAAGTACATGAGCAATAATATTACAACAACTTGATAATTTAGGAAATGATTCCGACTGCGAGCTAAACTTCCAGTATAGTTGGAAAGGTGCTGCACGGTAAGGTCTTCACATCCTTACAGACGAACAAGATCAGCAACATTTTGCTCCCCAGGTTTTGGAAAAGAATTGGAGAGCCGGAATATTTTTTTCTGTTTTTATAATGAAGATAGTTTTCAAATCAGAAAATATTGCACATTAAAAAAATAAAACAGTTCTCCCAGAAGCAGTTAGAAGGCGTGGTGGGGAGGGTGGGGGAGGGTGGGGTTCCCTTTGCCAGGCAGCAGAGGCTCTGTGGGATGTTTACTGTTCCCATGGTGACCGCTCAGCCTCAGCCAGCCACTGAGAGGAAGAGAAACCATGGCTGAGGACCTACAGCCTGAAGGTGAGGGGACCATGAGGTTCTTGGGATGGCTTTTGGCGTTTGGTACCTGGGAATAGGGTGTCTGGGAGCCGGTTAAGAAAGGCGGAAACTTTCTGGAGGCTGCAGATTGCTAGAGTTTAGGATTGGGTCTCTAATGTGCAGCTTCTCAGACCTGAAGACAAGAGCAGAGCAAAGGGGAGATGTAGTGTGGGGGAGTAAGGGGTGCAGGGTGTGTAGTGTGTGAGGGTGCTAGGTGCGCAGTGTGGTTTGCGTGTGAAGTATGTACTGTGTGGTGCGTGTGAATGCCTGAGTGTATGGTGTGTGGAGTGTGTGTGTGTGTGCTTGTGAGCCCTGGGAAGAGGGCAGATCTCTGGCCCGTTCAGAGGGTTCTTCCTACAAATGCAGAGGCGTCCTGGAGGCCCCCATGGCATCCGCTGTGGGTCCTCACGCTGCAACCCCGCCGATCCCACTACCTACCCACAACGCAGGGCATCCAGTCTCTGTGGCTCAGGCCCACTCTGTCTTCAGCTCCTCTGAATGCAACATGAAGAAGACTCCCCTCAACCCCCACTACCAGCGTGAGAATCCCGTCTTCCCTGCCAGGAAACACAACGCAGATCGCTGGTGCAGAGGACTCTGGGTTCGCTAAGCGGAGCCTGCTCTACACAGAGTCTGAAATCAATGCCATTTTATGTCATTGAGCTGCACTTGGCACTGCTCACCTACCCAGTTGCAGTAGGCAATTTGGGAGCATGGCAGTGACCCTCTGGAGGTCCCTTGTGCATGTCTCCTGCTCCTGGCAACTGGCTGAGCACCTGTGAGTGGGTTGGATACACACCTGCCTCTGGGAGCTGGAAGGACAGAGCACCTGGGACTTTGCATGCATCTCCCAGCCTCTGAGACATCTTTCTCTTTAAAGAGCAAGTGAAGAACTCAAGCATGTATCCTCTACTGAGGCCTTCAGATAGCAGTGGAAAGCGTCACTCCTTGACATTCTCTGGGGTCCCTGGGTGGGGGTGGCAAGACTTACCCCAATGGTGCTCTCTCTGCTTCCCAACGCCAAGTGGCTACTTCCCTGTCCCATTTTCCTTCAGGAGCCACCATGTCTACCCTCTGCAAGCTGCCACATCCTATTTCCTTTCTTCTGCCATAGTGATGTATTCCTGAGAAATGCAAGATTGAAACAGCACCCAATATGAGCTTAGTTCTGTGGGTCACATGCCTGTATGAGCCCCCAGGGGTCCTTTCAGGGTCTCTCTGGCTGGCCAGAAACATTGTTAGGAATGTGTGCTTTTCTGGAGTGGTGCAGAAGAATCCCTCCTAGGTCCTCTGCTTTGTTGGGATGTCCGGCTCCTCCCAGCAGTGACCACAGGTATCATCTTGCTGCTATTGATCATAGCCTTTTCTCAAGTCTTTGCACCAGGTCCTCTGCCTCAGAGTCAGCCTGGCCACAGGATCCTGCATTCTTGTTGGAATCTCAGAAGTCCTTTCTAGCCCTCTAGCCTTTGGGACTCTAGCTAGAGAAGTGGGGTTACTGGGGATTGAACTAGGGACCTTGCATTTGTGAGGCAGGCCGCGGAACCACTGAACTAAATCCCTGGCCCCCTTTTAGGGGGTTTTGCAATTAAATTGGGTCCATCCAGATGATCTGGGACTATCCTTTTTAAAGCCCATCCCCTAAAATACTCCTGTAAAGCCCCTTGTCACACACCTGGAGACAGGAGGTGGATACCTGCTGGGTGCTGTCATTCTGCTCCCCCATGTGTAGCAATGAGAAGGAGCATTAGAGGAGACTCATCTGTCTATTATTCCTCTAGCTCCCCTGCCCTCTGCTGTCACCACTCTCTTATGGGAGGTGTCCTCCTACTGAGGCATCCATGTCTCAAATCCCCTGCAGAATTTAAGATTTCTGGAGGTGGGGTTTTCATTTCATCCCCTGAGATAACAGCTCAGCACATGGCATACAGATTTTTATATTATTACTTAGAATTCTGTACTTCTCTACATTTATTCATTAAACTGAGCAGTGATTGTGGACCTTTGATGGAGGTTCTTACACCAATAACACAAAGTTCACCCCTTGACAATTTGTAAAAATGTTTCCATGTGATTGTGTAAAAGACAGAATGTGTCCAGTCACAGGTCTAATGCTGTCACTGAGGTCCAGGAAGAGCCAAGCAGCCCCACAGGATTTGTGTGAGAGTTTGTGGGGAGCAGCAGAGTGGTTATCTGGGGGTTCCTTGGTCTCCTTTGGCTGGTCAGCCTTACTGGGCAGTAAGACTATGGATCTCCGATCTGCTGGCTTTGCTCCAAATTCCTTCCACTGACACTTCCCAATGGTATTGTTGGCTTTAGGGAGGGAGGGTCAGGGTGTTTCTGCAAAAGAGCAGTGAGATTTTCACAGATTGCAGAGTTCAAAGGGAAGACATCATGGGCAGAGTTGTAATAATGTTAATGTTGAAAACCTACTCTTTATTTTAAAAAATCGATTTATTATTTTTATGTTTTTATGCATGGAGGTATACATGTATGTATGTATGTATGTCTTAATAGTACATGTTTGCAGTCCATAATGCTTACATTCCTGTGTGGAGTCCATACATGTGCATACCACATCTTAATTTATTTTTTCATTCCCTTTCCCTCCCCTCCCTCCCCCTACCTTCTCTTGACCTGACCAACTTTCTGTCCTGAAGAAACGATGAATTTCTTGAAAAGAAGAAACACTTTGTTTAAAAATGCTAAATTCTAGAAATACTGAAAATATTTAATTAATCTAATTCTCATTCAAAAACCAATTACGATATCTTTCCAGTCAATACACATTCAAAATGTTTGGCTTTTCTTAAAACAAATTTGTTTTCAGGTCATTTGTAAGAGACAGACATTTTCCAATGAATTGCTTAATGTTTTGTTTTGTGGGTGTGTGCGTGAACTATAGATGATAGGACATCCAAAATCAATGCTTTCAATAATTGTAATATTCACCGTAAGGTAGGTAGGACATCATACATAGTAAACATTGTAGAACTCAGCCGACAGAACAGGAATCTAGATTCTTTAAGTCTAGACAAGCAAGCCTCTCTACAATCAAACTCCACGGCATGCTCAGTATGAGGGCTATGTTGATTAATTTTGAAGACCTCAAATCTCCTTGGAGATAAACTGAAACATGACATGGTAATATGTGAATGGCCTCCTCCTATTTTTTTTTTTTTTGAGTTGGTATGATCTGTTTTTTCTGCTTTTTGTGTTAGCTCCTTTGATGAATTGCAATGATTGTCTTGAAAATTGGTTCTACTAATATTTTATCTGATCATAGTGGTATCTTTTTCAGAATCCCCCTGCTGGAAGCATTTGCTTCCATATGGAGCTGTAGTGCCCCATACAAGAGGCAATGTTGACCCACATTCATTTACACTGGACAATGCAGGAAGGCTGTGGACTTGGCCGTGTCCATGAAGTCTGCAGCATTGTGAGGGAGCCAGACTTTCTGGGCCCCTGGTGCACACACCTGACATCACCCCAGGTCAGCATAAAGAAGAGGCAGAACCTTTGTGTTTTATTTGTATTTTAGTGCACAGCTGGTCTCAAGACAGAGCAGCATCCTATGGGCCATGGAGACAGAGTGTAGTTCTAAAGAGGGAGTGAGAAGTGAAAGGCAGGAAAAGTTTCCTGGCTGGGAGATGGAGATGCAGATGCAGATGGAGAGTTGTGAGTCAAGGGACATGGACAGCAACCAGGGGCTGAGAGCAACCCCACTGATGGCGATTTAAGGGGATCTCAGTCCTACAGCCAGGAGGAGCTGGATTCTGATAATAACAAGAATAAGTCTGGAACTGATTTTACCTTCAATCTCTTGAGAACTCAGCTAGCTGTCACCTTGATTTCAACCCTGTAAGGTCCCACATAGAGAACCCAGGATGTAGAAGTAAGACCCCATACTGATGCTACCAAAGCTGCCATCTATGGTCATTTGTCATACAGCAGGGAAGCCACCACTGCCTCTCACTTTCTCTGGCCCTTGTTTCTTCTCTCAGGTGGAAGGAGAGACCATGATGCATCCTGACTTTACAGGCAAAGCTTCCCACACAGATTTGGCATGGAAATGGGTTTGCATGTGGCTTGGTTCCCCGAGGTCTCCTTCTGCTTCCCTTTGCTCAGGTGGTCATGGTATAAGGGAAAGATTCCAGCAGGTAGGGGAAGGCTGCATTCAGAGGCCACTTCTTCCCTTTGATGGTTCTCTGGACACATTTGGTCTCACAGTTTTTCTCAGTGTCTCTTTTCACATTGGGGAAGAGGTTGATTGCCAAGGTGCTTATCATGGGGGCTGGAAGGTGGCTGTAGAATATCCTGGCCTGTGCAGGCTCTGCTGGTTCCCTGAGGGCTCGGTGGGCATAGCTTATCATCTGGCAGATAGGGTCCTTTGGGTGTGGAGATGCAGGAGGTTTCAGCCTCCCTGAACAAATGAACTCCTTCTTGGTTAATCCTCTTAGGCTCTTTGAGAAGGCTGCGCCACCACCTCTGGGGACATCACACTGCACAGTAGCCCAGGAAGAAGCCCTCCTCCCTCATGTTGGATGACAGCTCCTTATAAGGACAAATTCAGGCCAACTCAGAATCTTTTAGAAATGTTTAGAGCTTCCACAATTTAATAAGAATGGGCACAAATGATGGACTGTCCACCCCAGTCCAGGGGTCTCCTTGCCTGAAGTGATTCCATGGGTGTGAAGGAATCATTTTGCACCAGCGATTATTTTATTCTGCAGGGGAAGAAACTAAGGCTCAGAGATGATGTAATAGCTCTGCACTCATAAAATTAGGAATAGGTGAGGAGATCAAGATTTCCATCAGTTTTATATCCTGGGCCTCTTTCTGAAATGCAGCCCTGTCCCTGGGGAATTCAATGAGCAGGACCCTGTGCTAGAGAGGTCAGCATCCTGCCACCACACCCAACACCCACAGTTGATTCCTTGTGAGGACAGGTCAGGAAGGAATGAAAGGCACATCAATCATAGGGGATCCTGACACTTTAGGACAAAAGGAGAAATGACGCCGTTTACTCCCTAGAATATCATGTTTAGTACATTAAAGAAGGCATCTTTATGCATCATCATTAAGAATTATAATTAATGCCTTAGACTTTTCTTCTAGAGCTTTGTTAACACTGATATAGGTACTCTGTGGAATTAAAATACTCTTTCTTCCTTAATAGCCTTAGAGCTACAGCCTTTTTGGAGACTCCACTTTTGGGTATGGAACATGCCAGCTCAGCAAATGGGCATAGACGGTTACAATGGGACTCAGTATGATATCTCACAGTCACATTATCTTTCCCAAACAGTCTACCTGAGGCGGAAACACTGTGAGATGAACAGTGTCAAAAAGCTCTGCAACCTAAGGGAGCTTCTGAACAGACTCCAGAAGGACCACAGAGAGGACATATGTGTGTATATCTCAGGGCACCTGAACCCCAATAAGCTCTACAGGCCACAGGAGAGCCTCCTGCGTCATTGGCACAATGCCCACAGACCAAGGTGGGAGACGGTTTCCCCAGCAAGAACAAGAGAGGCAGGGGGTGGGAAGACTGCTGAGATGAAGGATGCTTTGTCTTATTTTACCATCAACACTACGCTGCTTCCCAGTGATGCTCAGAACACGAAGCTCTTCAGGTATTTAAACCCTGGAGCACAAACCTCTCAAACTTTGCATGATCCTGAAGATTTCATTCCAAAGCAGATTCTCCAGCAAGAAGAGGCGCTTGAGTGCCCCTCAGAGCAACGCCGGAGAGAGGAGCTCAGGTTGCCTGAGATGAAGGTACTGAGGTTCAAAGAAGCAGTGTCCAGCCGCCAGTGCACCCTGTCTCCCCCAAGCAGAGAAGCGTACCACTATGTCAGCTCCTACCTAGCTGGTTTGACAAAAGCGGACAGGTATAAGAAGTTCTTGAGTTTCCAAAAGGAAGTTGTGGCAAAGCAAGATCTGAAGAGTGATTTCACTGGGAGTAAGGTGGCAATCAGCCATGAAAAGAAGCTGGAAGAGGTAAGGAAGGCCATTTGCTGTTCTGTCCACACGGGGCTCCAGTTCAAGGGCCGTGGTAGGCTGAGAATTGTTCTCGGCTTCCTAGTTTATATGTGGAGGTAGAATGGAACAAAACTGGCAAGTGCTAAGATCACTCTGCATAATCAGTAGATGATAACAGGGTTCAGTAGAAGGTGCCATTTGGACACTGGTAGGTTGGAGGAGGACAGTTCATCCTCAGAAGTGATAGATGCGCTGTGTAGTGATGGCATAGACAGTGTTTGTGGGCTCTGAGAAAATGTATTCCCACCTTACTGTGGAAGAACACTATAGAGGTGAATCAGTGAGCGGGATGCCAGCACATCACTCACAGAGCATATCCACATTGCCTGCCCAGAGCTGGCATGGAACATAGGAGAAAGCACACCATTGGGAGAGAAGAAAATACAATGTATAAGGTGTGATTGACAAGTGCAGAGAAGCTAGGTGACAAACTTTGTGAAGATGGAAAGGGAACCTGAGGATAGGGGACACAGGAAGGAGGAAAGGGAAGTGGAATGGAAAGTAAAAAGCATCAAGATGTGGTATGTGTGTGTACCCATTCCCCAGGACGAACATAGTCAGTATGCATTGAAAGTGTGCACAAATAAAAATTTAAAAAAATTATTATAGTAAAAGACACATTTCCATTAACACCCCTTGGGCCATCCCCACTGACTTCAAATGTTTATCCCACCGTTCTTTCCACTTTCTGAAGCGGTTCTGGAGTCCTCTTCATTGAGCATCTTCAGTTGCACTATTGTGGCTGCCTTGATGCCTTGAGCTGATTCAAAACCTTTACCTCTCATGGTCTCATTGCCTTTGGGAAAGAGCCAGAAGTTGTACAGTTCCAGGTCTGGTGAATAAAGTGGATGAGGACCCACCTTGATGTTCTCATGAGCCTGCCTTTCTTGTGGATGGCAGTGGGGAGCAGCATTCACCAATTTTTTTTTTAATCACAATGTATAAAGATATGAAAGAGAACTTCCAGAACTGCTTCAGAAAGTTGCTAGAACAATTGGATAAGTGTGTTCAAAGTGAATGGGACTATTGTGAGGGGAGTTAAGGAAAATGTGTCTTCTACTGTAATATATTCTTAAAATTTAAATATTTGCAGTATATTTTGGCCACATCTTATAATTATCAAATAACTAGGACAGAGGGCTTCCTCATGGGATCAAAGGGGGGGCTATGAGGGCATTGTGGAGGCAGTGGGAGGGGAGGGGACTTTAGAGTAGAGAGTTGGGGAGAGGAAAAGAGAGGCTTGGACCCTTGGGTACAGGGATCAGAGAAAGGTCAGATAAAGATAAAAAGACAAAAGTCATTCAGGCTTTCATGACCACACTCTCGGTGACTGGTGGGAAAACATTAGGGTCACCTTGGTTTCCTACCTGCTCAGTGGAGACCAGGCACCTGGGTGATGGCAGCTGTGCCCTTTAATTCCTCAGCCTGAGGAACTATTCTGAGCATGAAGACCATCGAAAAATGGGTTCATTCTCTTTTCCCTAGGAACTCCAGAAAATATGCACATGCAACTCTCAGGAGTTCAACAGGCTGCAGGTCTTTGGAGATGTCTTTGAAGACATTTGCAACAGCTCTCTGATATTTGGTGACCTCTTGAAAGAAATTAAGGTAAGCAAAACATATATATTCTGCATAACAGTGGAGATCTATGTGCAATTATTCATCTGCATACTCTGGGATGATGTCACGCCTCATGGTCCCCATTACATAGAGAAGGACATCAAAAGCCCTGCATGACTTTGGCCGTAGCCACATACATCACTCAGGGCTGTGTGGAATAAGCACCCACTTACTTTACTGCTTAAGCTCATGTTTGTTCACCAAAGCTTCCTAATTATACACATAGTGCATGTGTAGCCTATAAACTTTTATAATCATAGATGTGTAATTTTACATGAATCTTTATGTAATTATAAGTTTCTTTCTTGATGAAACCATCATGTAGAATTTGATTTGAAGTTGTGTTACTTAAGCAGGGTGCTGTTCTCTAACTTCTCTAGGGACAAGGGATGGTTACCAATGGGAGGTGGTGGCTTGTTCTCCAGAGATACTCTTGTCACTGGAAAGCTCCCCTTTGGCAGGCTGCAGCACCCACATCCACAGAACTTCTGGCTTGCAGGGGACCATTTGTTGTATGTGGGCAAAGTAGTTTATGCTATAGTATGCTGAAGTGATTAGAACTTAACATCTAAACATGCTTCAAAGAATATTCACTTTCATAAATGCTAGTGCGTGTGGTTTAATACACCACAGGAATATTTTATATACTTAAAAAATTGAAACTGACATCCTTAACCCCTATATTACTTAGACAGACAACTTTGCAAAGTGGCAGTATCTGCTAACACATTTCTAATGGATTCTTTTGTGTGTGTGTTGTATAGAACGAGTATGAACTCTATATGGCAATACTTCTGGACTCCCACCCTACAGAGCAGATTAAGGTAACAATCAATCCTGAAGTATGCGTCATCTGTTTGTACTTGCATCTGCATTTCATGAGCAGTAGAAAATTTTATGAAGGGCTTTCCTGTGGACTGACATAGGGCTGATGAAGTGTCCTCCTTTGGTTCCTTCCCTTTCCCTCCCCTCCCCTCCCCTCTCCTTCTCCTCTCTAATTTGGGATCATAGATAGTGCTATGCTATTGAGTACCTAAAGGCATTGCCCAGGTGTTATCTTGAGGGGAAAGCACAAGGAATGCAGTGTGAGGAACCAGGTCTTCTCATTGAACTGGTGATAGCTTTCCAGGTGACTCCTGCAGAGTTAGGTTAAACCTACACTTGTTCTACTGAGGGGATATACTACAGGAGTAACTATCACTGTCAGAGACTGAGAATCTAGCACTGGTTGGCTTTGATAGTTTGAATTCAATGAAGTTGAACAACTCTTGTCTTGTAAATTTGGAAGCATAGTTTTTCTTTCTTTCTTTCTTCCTCCCTCCCTCCCTTCCTTCCTTTCTGTGGTACCTTGGATTGAACTCAAGATCTTGAACTTGTGAGGCAGGTGCAGTGCCACAGAGCTAAATCTCCCTCCCCATAGTTTCTTATTTTGTTGGTTTTGAAAACATGGCAGCGTGAACAAAAGTCAGTTCTAACTTACTTCCTAGTCCAAAATCAGAGGTGGGCCTGATTTTCTTTGTTTTGAACTTCGTTATGGTGCTATATGTGAAAATGAACTCTTGTCTTTGCAAATGAAGCAAAGCAAAGCCTCAAGTTAGAGGTATATTTTCCTGTTCCTCACCGTTGAGGTGGAATAGAAAAGGATTGTTTATGTCCAGATCTCAGTCAGACATTGGGATACAAGTAGCCACAGGTTGCCAGGATTCTGGACCTTTATGTAAGTGAAGAGCCTCTGTCAACCTCCTAATGAGGCAGAGGACTTTGCGCTCCACATTTGAGTACAATACTGTTTCATTCTCATGTATACGAATCAGCTTATGATTGTTTTTGCACTAATTTAGGAGAAATAATTGTGGAGCTGATAACAGTTTACCCAAATCACTTTATTTAGCATGTCTGCCCAACACACACACAATGAAACTATGTAATGTCTATCCTTTAAAATTTTTTAGGAAAATAAAATTTAAAAATACTAAAAGGGACACTTTACCTACAATTTCACTTGACCAGTCATACCTCCTGCAGTATCTCTCCTTCCCTCCCTCCAGTCCTCTGAATGTTGCTATTTTAGCTCGAAGTTTTATTTTAATCCAGGGCACCTCGAGTACACCACACCGATAAAAAGGAATGTTCCTGTGTCTTTCCTGGGTGTGCCTTACCCTTGCTTTGCTTTGCCCTCCTAGACACTCCAGGCAGAAGTCCAAGGACTGGAGAAGGGCCCTGTGAGGCCTGAGGATGTTCATCAGGCCAAGAGGGAGCTGAGGAGGCTCGTGCAGGCCACCAAGGCAGCCCTGGAGAACAATGACACGTGAGGTCTTAGTACTTGGACTTGATGTTGGTTTGGCTGATATTTGTTTCAAAGATCTCAAAACTGTGCGGTGATCCTGTATCTACATTCTTCTTCATGGTTACATGGTACAGTTACCAATGTCTTCCTGTCTCCTGGCCTCTTCCACAGCCATCGGGGGACATGAGTAGGATATTGTACCAAATGCGGTGGCTTCATGAGGGAACTTTGGGGGAATCTAAATGAATACCATTTCTTGTGTGCTGGGTCTGGTATTGATAGATAAGGGAGCCACAGTCAAGACACCTCATAGGAATACCCTTATTTGTTCCTCTACTTTAAAAAATTTGTGACCTTTCTGTGTGGCCTTCCAGGTTCAAGTGGCAGTTGGATAAACATACTTTTTACAGGGATTTTTAAAACAAAAGAATTAAGCAAACTTGAAATAACCAAAATGTCCTTAAGTAAACAAAACAAGGAACAAGACCAATAATAGACCATGCCTTCAGTGTAACTAGCAGAAAGACAGCTGTTGTCTTTTGCTGTAACTTGGTCTCAAGAGAGCCCTCCTCCCCCAGCATGACTGTAAGCTCTTGCCTGCCCAGAGAAGCTCAAAGGACAGGGGTGTTCACAGAATCCATTCAACCAGATAACTTCTTCATCTTGGCCTTCAGACCTAATGCCCACATGTCTGACCTGAGGCCAGGACCCCTCTCACAAGAAACTTGTCTACACTGGCAGCTGCCCTGGGGCCCTTGTCTGACCTGTATATAGTTTATTCACAGGAAGATGGATTCTCTCTCTAACCTGGAGGTGTTAGGTATTGCTGTGCAGTCTGCTGAGACTCAGAGCAGGCAGCTTCGTCAAACTCAAGAATTAAAAGTTTGCTGCTTACAGACCTGAAAAGAAGAGCACAGCTCACCTTGTGGGGCCCATGAAAAGGGAAGAACTGGCTGAGACATGTGTTTATTCGTTGGGGGTGGATTGGGGCCCATGGGCACCTGATTCATGTTGTTACACTGATAGACGGGCAGTAGCATATGAGGTCTGATCAGAAAATACAGCTAATGCTAAATTTTCAAAATGTATTATGGTAAATGACGCATGGTCATTAATCCCCTTCAGAATAATCCTCCTTGCTTTGAAAACACTTTTTCCATCATTCTTGCCACTGTGGGAAGCATACATATAATCAATTTGTTTACAGCAATTTATGTGAAATTAAAATGTTATGGTGTATCCTTTATACTGATTCTGTGATAAAATGAGCAAATAAGTGTGAACATCTTAAACTGTTAGGTCCCTTGTAGACAAGTGTCACAAAACCAAATTGTAGTGTTCAGATTTTTCACCAAATGGCAACATTTCTCTCATTTATGTGATGCTCATTGGAGTACGTTTTTTTTCTCCTTAAGCCTATTAAGAATAAGAGTTTATTCAGTTTACTTTGCCCCAAGAAGAAAGTACAAAGAAGTTACAGTTTTCTTTCTTTTTCTCAAATATGTCTTGTATTTATTTCTGCTCAAATATTGTGGAATTTATAAATTTTACCTGTGGGTTGCAATCATCATGCACAGGAAAAGCACAGTGTGTATTCTAACCTCAGTAAGGAATTTCCCTTCATTTCTTTTTTGCCACTGTGCATAAAATATCTACCTTCCCCTCTCCTTAGCAATTCAAGCCACAAAATATCATCAGACACTATAAAAAACATTTATTTTAAGAGAACCAATTTTTAATGATTTATGCAGTCATGGAAAGAATGTATCCTTTTACTCCTTTAACTTCAATGGCTGGGGCTCTCACTTTACAGACATTTTTAGTTTCCTCTTTATGTTACAAAGTATGAAGATTAGATTTTTTTTTCCTGAATAAAATGACAGCATAAAGACGACAAAAGTAAAAAGGAAATGGGGCACTAGTATTTCACTATTTTTTTATTATCAATTTGTAGACTGAGAAATGAATTAGAGATGGAACACAAGTTGCTGCAGTCTGCTAAGGAAAAATCAGGCAAGTGCCTTTTCAGATCTGCCTTATTTCCTTTGCAGCATTCTATCTTGAGGTCTTGTTCCACTCTCTGCTCCTTCCCCACTCCTTGCACTTGCCTTACTCCTTTACACCCTTCAAGCTCATTAGTCCTATTTCTTTGGCAAAGTTTCTTTTGAGTTTCTCCTATGCAATTATATGTCTCTGTCCCCGCTGCACCTCCCACTTCCTCATCATCATTTTCTCATAATTTACTAGTGAACTTTCCCACCTATTCAAGCATCTGCAAAGCTAGTTGTTCAACAAATGCTCAGTAATGATCTGAATGAATTAAAGGAGGAATACATCACTCTTTAACCAGATTATTTTCATTGGCACTCTTGGGGTTTGAGTTATATTATAATTTATAATTATATCTAACACATAATATTGTCAATCATACATAATGATATTAAAAAGATCTGAGGTATTAAATGCAGTCATATTTTATGTTCCAAAATGCTTCTAGAATCATCTCAGAAAACTATAATTGATGAAGAACATCTTACTCTTACTGAGAAGGTTGAAAAGAAGAGATGTGAAATACTGAATAAATGGAATGAAATTCAAGCTCTTGAAAAACAAATTAAAACTACTTTGGTGCATACCAACATTTCAGATATCGTTGAGAGTAAGATTAAAAGCATAGAGGTATGCCATTTATCTCTTTTAAACTTGCACGGTTCTCCTGCTTGCAAACTTTGGCAAATACATGAAGCAGTGAGATTGTATTGGAGCATATTTTCCTTTCAAAATATTTGTAGTAGAAATATTAGAATAATAAATATCTAGTTCAAAAAAAGTGCATATGAAAAGAAAAACTGTAGCACTCTGGCAATAGTTGAATCCCGCAGAATCTGTGTAGAAATTGTGCAGTCTCTGATTCAGTGTAGTTTCTCATTATGTCGTGTGTGATAATTGCTGTATTTTTAATTTTCCCATGGTTATATAGTAACATACATTTTCCTAGCATTACTTTTTAAAATAAAAATTAATAAGAATTACCTAGTATATAGAAGGTGATATTGATCTAAATAGCCCAGTTTTTTTTAATTAAACAGTAGCTTGCCTCACTTATAATTGATAATCCTTTTCAACATGATGGATATGTGGAAAAATGAGTCTTTTTTTTTTTTGTAATGGTGGGGGTCGAACTTGGGTCCTTGAGTTTGTGAGGCAGGCGGCAGAACCACTGAGCTCAATCCCCAGTCCTAAAATGAGACTTTTGTTTTGTTTTGTTGTTTTGAGACAGGGCCTCACTACATAGTTGAGACTGACCTGGAACTCACTATGTAGTGCAAGCTGGTCTCAAACTCACAAAATCCTCCTGCCTCAGCCTGCTGAGTGCTGGGATTACAGGCATGTGCCACCACGCCCTGCCTAAAATGAGTCTTTATACTACTTCCCTATCATTATTTATAATTCTCTTGGATTTTTTTCATTCATAGTATTAACTACATTTTTTTCAAGTTACAGTAATAATACTCATTTTTTTATTGTACTTACAATGGCTTTATTAATTCATTTGAAAGAAACTGTCTTACAATATTAACATTACCATCAGGGATCATTTTCTCTTTTTCTTGTATTTAAATTTTTTTAAGTTGTGGTAAAAATACTTAACATAAAACTTATTACTTTTATTGTATAGTGAATGGATTAAATATATTCATCCAATTGAGTGATGATTATTACAATCCATTTTTAGATCTCTTTGGATCTTGCAGAACCAAAGCCCTATACAAGTGAAACATGATATTTAACTTTAGTATATTATTTCCATGTCTTCATCTTAAATAATTGTTTTATTTATTTTCATGTATTTATGAGGTCTGTTATTATTCTAAAAGAAAAATTTCAAAAATTTTACCTTACCTTTGGTAATCAGTTATTGCTGGTATATGTGTTACTTATCCATTCAGGCATACTCTGGAAATATTGTGGATTTGGTTTTGGACCACCACAATAAAGGTAATATTGCATTAAAGTCAGTCCCATGATATTTTTTTAATTTTCTATTGCACAAAAAATTTATGTTTATACTATATTTTAGTATATTAAATGCGTGACAGCATTGTCTCAAAAAACTGTACATTTAGTAAAAATGATCTATTACTGAGAGTGCTAATGACCATTTGAGCTGTTGAAAAAAACAGTGTTAATAAATTTTCTTGACCCAAGGTTATCATAAACCTTCAATTTGTAAAAATATTACATTTTCTATGAAATGTGATAAAGCCAAGTGTAATAAAATGAAGCATGCCTACAATCATTCATTCATACTGTATTGTTTCCAGCCATTGAAAAGTGAGGCTCTATGACACTCTAGAATTTCTCTAATTTTTAAAATAATCTTCTGAAGCAGCAACCTCAAGACCGCCCTCTTCAGTTTTTGACCCAGAGACAGATTTATCTCTCTCGTCATTTAACTTCATGTCATTCCTTGTTGGCTCATCTTTTAAATGATGCCTTAATGAATACTCTTAAATACACAAGGACAATATTCGCATAATACTTTCATTCCATAAATAGTGAACAGTAGTTAACAAATATTCTTAACAAAGTATCTTGCTTTTAAAACCATACCTCGGTTTCAGAATGAAGCTATAAAATTGGAAACAAAAAATAGGATTCTACAGAAGAAAATACAAGTAAGTTTTATTTTGTATGTGATTCAGAGTTTATCTATAGTAATATTTCCTGGAGTGCTTGCTTATACTGTGTCATAACCCAATTAAGAATATATGCATTGTTTTTTTAAATAGTAAATTTCTGTAATACTTGGATATCTAGCTATGCACATATTCACTTAAAAATAGGCATGTGCAAGCTCATATATTAATAAAAATAATTAAGTTTTAATGATAGAATATGCCAACCATAAATATTTTCTGACTTGATCCATGAATTACCATTCAATGTATTGAGTTTATTGATTACAAAGAATCCAACAAACTGGCGTAGCAACTTTGCAGGTACCCCCTCCAAAATACATTATAGTTTGCTTCTTGTACCTGTGCAGACTAGAAATGATAATCTATCCAGAAAGGATCCAGATATGGTAATCCAGAAATGAAAATTGTCTACAATCAAACAGTGTTACTACACATGATCAAATAATTTTTCATTTTTTGTAGGTCATTGGAAACAATGTGAATCAGATCATGAAAAAGAGTAAAATCAGTAAGGAGGAACGACAGTGAGTCTTTATATCACGATAAAATGATATGTTATATCTTTGATCCATTCTGATTATAATTTAGTGCATGGTGAAAGATATGGTTCTAGAGTCAATTTCCACTTATACAAAGCCATTTTTCCCAGCAGAATTTGTCTTTCTCCTGGTGAGTGTTTGGCTCTTTTGCCAAAGATAAAGCTGAATGTGTTTGAAGGTGTTTCTGCATCATGTATTCTGTTCCGTTGATCTTCAGGTCTGTTTTATGCCACTACCATGCTTTTTTTTTTAAATCATGGTAGTTATGTAATATAACTTCAACTCAGGTATTGTGATGCCCCCTTCCTAAATCCTAAAACAGACACACATAATCTGCTGGAATATAAAACAGGTAAAACTTTTGAAGATGTAGGTATAGGCAGAGACTTTATGAACAGAACTGTGCATAGGAGATATTTCCAAGAATCAACAACTGATATTTCATCATATTAAAAACTTTTGTGCAGCAAAAGAAACTACCAACAGAGTAAAGAGACAACTCACAGAACGAAAAAATCTTTACTAACTATTCTTCAGACAAGGGTCTAATACTTAGAATATATAAAGAACTGAAAAAAATCAGACACCTCAAATTTAAAGACCCAATCCAAAGATGGGCATCTGAATGAATACACACTTCTCAGATGAAGGACAGACAGCAAATAAATATATGAAAAAAGATTCACCATCACTGGTCATTCAAGAAACACAAATTAAAACAACACAGAGATTCCATCTTACTCCAGAAAGAATGGCTATCATCAAGAAATCAATAACACATGGTGGCGAGGCTGTGGGGAAAAAAAAAAAAACCCTTCTCCATGGAGTGTAAACTGGTGGAACTATTATGGAAATCAGTATGGAGATTCCTCAAAGAACTGAAACTAGAAGTTATACTTGACCCAGCTATTGGTATCTTCCCAAAAGAGTTGAAAGCATCATGCCACAGTGATATATGCATACCTTATGTTTATAGCAGCATATTTGTACTATCTAAATCTTGAAAACAGCCCAGATGTCCATTGCTGGGTAAATGAATAAAGAAAATACTTTTTTAAAAAAAAATATATATATATATACAATCGTATACTACTCTGCCAAGAAGAAGATGAAAATTGAGACATTTTTAGGTAAATGGATGCATCTTGAGATCATACTTTTTTCTTTTCTTTTCTTTCTTTTTTTATTTTTTGAGACAGGGTCTCACTATGCAGAGACTGACCTGGAACTCACTATGTAGCCCAGGCTGGTCTCAGATTCACAGCAATCCTCCTGCCTCAGCCTCCTGAGTGTTGGGATTACAGGTGTGTGCCACACACGCAGCTTGAGACCATACATTTAAGTGAATCAATTGTACCTCATTTTTAAATATTGTATTTGTTTCTCTTGTGTGAGAAACCAAAAGATCAAATAAGGACCAAAATGGATGATAAATGTTGGGAAATAGGAAGAAAATATTCAAATGGGAAAGGGGGAAAAAGAGAGGTGGCAGGGAGAATGGAGGGAAGGGGAAAAAAAGAGAGTATGAAAATAAGGAACAAAAATATTTCCATATATATCTGCTTAATAATTTCTCCACATTCAGGCCAGGACTCAGCATAATGCCTTATGTACAGTCAAAATCTGATATATAAACATCAATTAAAGTATCTGTTCACCTGTCTACTTATTTCTAGTGATATAAATCCAGTCATAGTCCTTTCTGTAGTTTTTTTCCCCTCTACCTTGGTTTCTCGTTTCCATTATTTAGTGCTATATTTCTTTTACCAGGACTTACATACATACATTTTTATGTATATCTCAGTTTGTTTTCTTTTTGCTTCAGTGAAATTGTAAGCCCTCATAATCTTAGAATGCTATCAGTAGGAAAAAAGCACTTACTAAATACTTTTTGAAATAAATATTTGATTACAAAAAATAATATAATTGGTTTATCTTAATTTTTTTTGTCATGGGTCCATTTCAAAACATTTCAGCCTGAGATACACACATACATTTTCCCCCCAAAATAAGAAAATATCTCTAGGAAACATAAAAAAGTGACCACGCAATCACAGAATTTTTACAAATAAATGAGTACACTTAAAAAAGAAAATCCAAATTCCCTGGACTCTGTTATTACAAATAAAAATGCAAGAAGATCCTTTGAACCCTCTTTAACAACTGCCCGATTCACTTCCTAAGCCAAATAAAATATTTGATATGGGTTGATTTTTTAAAATGCAAGAAGACAATATTTCAAAATTGTTTTCCTAGTAGTCATAACTGATTATGCCTGTTTAATAAAAATAAATGCTCCCATAGAAATAAATAGAATTGAAAAATAGGAATAGATTCCTAATTTATGGGAAATCACAGTGGTGGTATGATTTTGTAACAATGAACAGGAAGAAAGAAAAACCAGAATGTTTTCTAAGAATTCTCAATGGAACAGGAGACTTTCCTAGCAAACCCTAAAAATCATTTCTGTGTAAAATGTGTCTTAGTGAAGGGCGACTTGTTTTGTAATTAGTTTGACCAAAATTCTTAAGTAGATGATGGTGAGACAGGAACTCAGTGTTGCTCACGTGGAGGCTAAGACGCTGATTTAACCAATAATGAAAAAGAAACTGGAAGTGGGTGCTAACATAAGAGAAAGGATGTATTCTGTTTTTGGCAGCATTTGGTTTCAAATTTGGTGAAACACTTCTAGGATGCAGGGAGGTACTAAACTGGAGAAGAATGACACATTAGATTCCGAGAGGTAAGATATGTTTATGGTTAGTGTCTTAAACTCTAAAAAAGATCTGCTCCCCGAGGGTGTAAAATGTAGAAAACCTTTGGACTAACAGCGATCGTTGGAAATACCTAGAGTTCTCAGGCTAAAGGATGAGGAACCTATACAAGATAAGAAAGAACACAAAGCAAGAAAAAATTGAAGTTTGCATCTCACAGAGTGAATGGAAACAGGGTTAGCAAGCACTTTAAATACTTGGGACAGAGGTGAAGCTCAGTCATTTGGACAGTGAGAAAAGTTACATACCAGGACACAAGAGTTCAGGTGAAAACTTTAAAAGAAAGAGGTTTGATACTGCAACTTTATGAATATTAATAAGTAAAGTGATGTCTGCTGATGATTATTCAAAGCCCATAAAATACTTTCCTGTGACACTGTCATGAAAATAATTCTTAAATTTTTAAACATCTTGAATTTATCTCAGACCTTGTGTTTCATGCTGCAAATATCCAGTATTTGTTGAACTAAGCCTTTTGCATATGATTCATTTGTGATATTTTGTAATTAATATAAAATATTCCAGATGTGATGAAAGCTTTGAAAAAAAAATTTAACAATATTATGCTTTTCTCAAAACCATTCACTCAAAACTAGATTAGACATGACAGACCTTTGAAATACTCGTACTTCTGAGCACTCACTTTAAAAATGTTATATCTTTTCTTGTATTTAAAATTACTTAGCCTAAGATTTAAACATAAAAATGCACATATTATTTAGCAATGTAGCAATAAATTCACTGAAAAAAGCTAAAACTTGGGGTGAATTTTCATACAAAAGGATCAGGAAATGAGGGTTATATGGCTCCAGTGGGTCTCGTTTCTCAAGTGGCATATCTAGTGATGTTAAATCTTTGGAAATTCCTTTAAATATATCACTTTAAAGTTTTAAGACAGTAAATTATTCATAGTATGCATAATTACACATATTATGCATAAGTTTATACTTTATACAGTTATTTTCCTTGAAGTTGGTGCTACAGTTCCAATCTCAGGATCTGGAATGATTGGGGGCAGTAGAAAACTGTGATGGTTTAAAGATAGAAAGGCTTATTTGTATCATAGGGAAAACAGTTTTATGATGGTGGCCTGGTCTCAGAGGTATCCCTGTTTCTCCTGTGGAGAGTGTTTACTGGAGTTTTAGTATAAATGTCTTCAAGCATGAGATCCACGATCCAAGGAGGAAGACAGCAGCAGAGATAGATTTTAGCAGGCCTGTGAGGCTTATTTGCTTCCTTTAGGAAGGGTAGCCTTTGCCAGGGACTCCCATCTACACCTCACTGGCAAGACCAGATCCCAAAGCCACACTTAGCTGTAAGAGAGGCCAGAAAACAGAACATTTCACTTCTCACTTACATGGAAGAGAAAGCCAAGGGAGAAAAGCTCTAGAGTTGGTACTAAGTAATCCATCCAGGGAGCCCAGATTCTGGGGTCCTTTATATCATATTACCCAGGGAAATAGCATAGTTGCATGTACAGCTTGGAGGCCCCTGCTATATGTTCAGTAATGGAAATGACCTGCTTCTGCTGACACACAACACAGTCTGGAAAAGGTGACAGGCATGAGCCCAAATACCAGAAAAGCTTTGCTATTTTCAAGGCTCAAATTTTACTGATATATTCATTAAACAAAAGTAGATGCTTGTGAAGTCTCATCAGTTTGTGGGTAAATGCGCCTTAAAATGGATATTTATTTTGAAGTGTTCTTTTTTCTTTAATGTGTTTTTCTTAATATATTGTTTGTGTCATATATTTTAAGGAATCTTTGGGAATTTATCACAAAATTTGTAGAAGAAACAAAAAATAACTCTCAAAGGACTGAAGAGATGACATATGAAAATTGACAACTGCCAGGTACATAGCCTGGATGTCTGCAGATGTATAAATTAATGAAGATCTATTACATTTTGTCATCTTTAAACCTATTAATGTGTGATGCACCCTATTCCAGTAATTAATAAATACATTTACAAATAGTATTGGTTTCGCATTTATGTATGTGTGCATAACGATATTAGTTTTGTTTTAGTAAACTTCAACTGAAAATACTTCTGCATATTTAATAAGAATAAAAAATTAGCTCTGCTGTAATACAGATAATTTTTACTTATTTACCAATACAGGTTTCTAAAAAGCATGTAATAAAATTTAGTAATGGACTAATTAATATCTATTTAATTAAGTAGTCTTTATTGACTGGAAATGATAACTGAAGTACAAATGTTACATTTGTGTTGTGTTTGAACTGAACTTTCTGCAGCTGACTGTGCTCCCCATGACAACCTTATAATTTGTGTAGAGTTACTTTATCTCTACTTTGCTTTTAATATAAGCATGTAGAATAAGTGCAAGTTTGATTCCTTTGGATAACAATCCATTGGGTGATTTTGAAGATCAGGTGTAAATGATGAAATACAAATATGAGACATTCAATCTTGACTTGGAATATGGGAATAGTAGAGTTGTGTGTGTATGTGTGTGTTTGTGAGAGAGAGAGAGAGGAAGAAAAATGAGAAGAAGAAAGGGGAGGAAGAGAGAAAAGAAGGAAAAGAGAGAAGGAGAGGAAAGAGAGGGAGAGAAGGCAGGCAGGAGGGAGAGAATTTTCTCCAGGTAACTGTTTTAGACTCAGGTCTCCTTAAGAACTATTAGCTCCTGTTGAGGCACGATTCATTCTGCTTTTAGTGACAGAGTAGTAGCTGCTACTTGAAACTTTTACCATATACAGAAATAAGCTGGGAGTTATTTTTATTTTTTGAGTTCTTTATGATTTACTTATTTTCTATGGATTATTTGCATTCACTAGAATCCTGTTCAAATGACTTCATGTTTCTGGTCACTCTGGGAAGAGAATTAGAGTGTGACATTGTGAAGTGCTTAAGGCCATTATTATGGTTTAGATCTAAAGTATCTCCCCACCAAAGACTCATGTGTTCAGAAGTGGGGATTTTGGAAGATGAGATTATGAGTGTCTCTGTACTCATTTGTGGTTTAGTCTTGATGGGCTCATATTCAAGAGGTGGGCCCTCGTTGAAAAAGTTGCATCACTCTGTTATGACCTGGAGGAGTGTATTCTTCCACCTCTTTCTTTTGTCTCTCCTTGGCTGCCATGGGTTTAGCAGCCCTTCTGCCATGACATTTCTCTCTGGGAGTCAGTCACTAGCCACTAAGACTCTGTTCCTTTATGGCAGTTGTTAGGTATTCTGTCCCAGTGGAATAGAAGTGACTAATACAGAAAATTGGTTTTAGAAAAGTGAGATCATTGCTGTGACTGTACCTGCCCATGTGGTCCAGAAGTCTTTGGAAGAGTTTTATGAGTGGAGTTTCACAGGTTTATAATGCTACAATGGTGTAAGCAGAGCTTGATGAATAATTTTGGATGGAGCTCAGAGGACTAGAATGGTGGCAGGAAGGTGGAGCAAAGACCAGCATCATGAGGTTCCAGACAGGAATGAGGACTCTTCTGAAAATTGGACTGGGGACATTCAAGTTACATTTTGTCAAATAACATTTTGTTCAAGTTCTAAGGCTTTTTGTGAGGTTGAATTTAAAAGAGAAGACGAATTAATTTGGTGGAGGAGATTTCAAGGCATTCCTGTGTTCAAGCTGTGGTGTTGTTGGCTGCTTATACCATATTTACAATAAGAGTCAGAAGCAAGAGAAAAGCTGAAAGATGTGAAACATCTACAGCTTGTCGAGAAAGGCAACACTTGTAAAGTTGAGGTCTAAGAGAGTGTGATTGCTGTAAAGATTAGTGCTATGTACTTTGCATCTGGACATTAGGAAAGATAGCTAGAGGGCATCTCACATATTGACCAAACACTGCATATCACAATCTCAAGAGTGTGAAGAATCCACACTTCTGAAAGATTTTGTTTTGAGAAGAGAGCCCCAGGGCACCTTGCTCATTCAACACTACCTAGGGAACTGTTTGTTAGAATTCAGACATTCAGGCAGTAGAGGTTGCTGAAGCCATGGACCTCTGGGCTCATCCACTGTTCCTACTGGTAGTAGAGCTTGGTATCATCAACATGTGCTGGTTTTATAGGCATCTGGAATGCCAAAGTTATAGGATCTTGGAAGCTTCCACTCAGATTCCAGAAGATTGCGTGAGCAGCTAGGCAAAACGTGTCAGGGACACAGTTTCTTCCGGGAGTACCTGAGACGGTGATGCGTAAAACTGTGAGTGAAGCCGAAGCTGTAGTGGAGACCCCAGGAAGTTGGAGATGCCAGTCCAAGGAAAGTTGCAGTTCTGGCATCAAAGTCATCCCAAGAGAGAGGCCATGTGGAAAGCACTCAGAAAGGCCATAGGGTAGGGCTGCCCAAGCCCTTTGGAGCTCACTTTTCACTGCCATATGCCTCATGTGCTGGTCATGGAACAATAAGATTTAATGTTTGCCCTGCTGGGTTTTGGTCTTGCTTTGCTTTGAAGCCCTACTATGCCCTCATTTATCCCTTTCAGAATGGCAACGTTTATCCCACGGTAGTCTATGTTGGAAATATTTAACTTTGTTTTTTATTTTTATAGGAGCTCATAGCTAAGAGTATCAAGTTTTGTACTTGAATTTATGATCAGTCCTAGAACTCTTAAGAGTCTGGCAACTCTTGGAGATAGACTGAATGCATTTTGTGTAATGAGGTAGACTTAATCTTTTGGGGGCAAATAGCAGAATGTTATGGTTTAAATCTAAAATGTCTCTCCAGGCCAGATGTAGGTGTACAAACACAGTACTTGGGAGGGTGAGGCAGGATCATTACAAGATCAAGACCAGCCTGAACTATACATAGTGTGACTCTATCTAAAAAACAAACAGTATCTGTAAATGTATTATTTGTCCAGAGGTGGGGCTTCTGGAAGATTATTAGACCATGAGGACACTCTCAGTAGATTAATCCATTGATGAGTTCATAGCTGAATGTGCTTTAAGTGTGCTTAGTTGGAGGCAGTGCATCACTGGGGTGTGACCTAGAAGGATTTATTCTTGTCCCTAACTCCATCCTTGTTTCCTGGCTGCCATGAGATGAGTAGATTTCCTTCATTATTCCTTTCCATGCCCTTTCTATCAAACCAGTTCATTGTGAATGGAACTCTCTGAAGTCATGAGCCAAAATAAGCCTCTCCTTTAAATTGTGGATGTCAGGTATTTTGTCCCTGCAATGGAAATATTGCTAATACACCCCCATAAGTGACAAAACTGGAACCCAGGTTTGGCTGGCTTCATTCCTAAACTTTTAGTAATCCATCCTATGGTGACCTTTACATGCACTGTCAGTAAAGATAAGGGGAAATTAATTTATATATTGTCAGACAGTGGCAGAAAGACCAATAGAATTAAAAGCAAGCAGAGCTGACAATATTTTCTTGCAAAGCAAGGAAGAGTCATCCACTCAACCAGTTCAGGAAGTCTCCAATTTGAAAGTAAAGAGCTGGATACAGAGGCAAAGGGAATGTGGTATTCCACGTTAAGGGAATTTTAGGCATCATGTTTTCAGTGGACATGGTGAGGATGAGAAGATTTAAAAGTCCCTTCTGAAAAACTGGCCATTACTCTTATTCATTTCTGAAACCTACTTTTTTTTTAAGAAGTAAGTGTGTTACAATATAGCTTTTTCTAGATCAAAGTCTTGTACCAGATTGTGTGTCCCTTACTTCCTTGGGACTGGTGATTCTTCCTTTTAAGGCACATAAAGAATCCTCCCATCCATCCTTATAATCAAGCAACATTTAATATATCAGAATTAAAGCATATTCAGACAATTGGCCAGTTATAGGGAATGAAGAATTTATAACACATTGTACCAATCCTCAGGACATTCATGGATTTCTGTACGACAAGAATAACAACAGAGAAAGTCGGATAGAGTTAAACACATGCTGGAATATGGGTAGGTGGACTTTCCCTTGACCCTAAACTGGCAAAAACATTTTGGAAAATAACTTGGCATCAAGTGTTTTGTCTCACTGAATGTCTGTGTGTCTGCATACACCCCTGCCTTTGCTGCATTTGAATAGGACCATGTAAATTCTTCAGGCCAATTGGGAGGCTTGTGATAATGTATGGCAAAAAAAAAAAAAACCCAAAAAAAAAAAAAACCCAAAAAAAAAAAAAACCCAAAAAAAAAAAAAACCCAAAAAAAAAAAAAACCCAAAAAAAAAAAAAACCCAAAAAAAAAAAAAACCCAAAAAAAAAAAAAACCCAAAAAAAAAAAAAACCCAAAAAAAAAAAAAACCCAAAAAAAAAAAAAACCCAAAAAACAAAAAAACAAAAAAACCCAAAACCCAAACCAAAAAACAGTATGTTTTTCTAGAGTGAGTGGCTCATTTGTTAAAGGAAATGAAAGGGAATAGAAGCAGCAATTTGGACATCTCAGTGTCAGAGAAAACAACTTGTCTGAATCTCCAAGTATAAGAGGTGAGATTTAATAAAATCGATAGTCTTATGAAATGTCTGAAAGTAAAGGGCAGATTCTAGGGGTAGCATTTCTACTAAAGTCCTGCAACTTCAAGGAAGGTGTCCTTGAAACAAGAGTAGATGGTGCGGCCCAAGGGTGAGAAAGCAAAGAAAAAGACCTGGAAGCATCACTGAACAAATTGGACACAAGGTAACATCTGGAAGAAAATATATTGGACACCTATTAAGGCTTGAGGGAATTTTACAGAAAACAGATTCAGGAACCTCAGGTAGGAGAGCCTGTTATGCTTTGGATCTAGTTGTACCCCTAAAGCTTCATGTGGTCAGGTCCACTAGGATTAAGGGTGTGAGTTCTACCCACCCTAAGTAACCTGAGTAATATAAAAGGGGCAGCGAGATACTGCTAACTCTCTTGTTTCTTTCACTGCCTTGTGTGTGCACCCTGTTTTTTTCTGTTCTGCAATGCTTGTTTACCATCCTTGGAGTCAGCTGAGTATGGACTGAAACCTCAGTGAATTGTAAGCCAAATAAACCC